GTGAATCCAGTCAAGGTTTGGGTGTAAGACAGACATAAATGTAATCGCACATGTAAATATGCTCCATGAGAACGGAGGCTGCAGGCAGGGATAGATGTACATGTTCTAAAGATGCCACCAGCACCCAGTTTCTGTCCTCTCTTCATCTCATCCCCTGCTCTCAGTTCGCACAAGGAATTGCCTCTCCCAGTGGCAAAAGAGCTGCAGAAGCATCGTCTTCATCTTTTCTGGTTCTAGTGGGGAAAGACTCTGGGTCCCTATCTCAACAATGCAGATCAAGGTCTGATAGGGTCCCACTGACTTTGACTGGCCTTGTGCTATCCCTGAGCCAACCACTCCGGCCAGGGGAATGCGGTATGATTGTCCCAGGTGACAGGTGGTTGACCTAAGCTGGGGGAGGGTGGATCCCCAAATGCAGAATGGAACCCACTGCTGACAGCAGCAGAGAGTACAGGATTCCTATGGACAGCAATGTTTTTCACCAGAGGATATTTTTTATGTCTAGGTTTCTTCTCTTGAATTTGATACCTGAAAATCAGGTAATCTATTACAGACTTTGGAGATACTGAGTTTAATTCTCTGTGTCCATTTACATCAAAGGACGAACAATTGGGAACAGTTCTCTTGGTCAAATGAGTAATACTGGGTTTACTTCATGGCAAACCATAGCCTCTTAGTCCCCTAAGGGTACTTTGTTTTTTATAATACGAGGGACAGGATGTGACTGAAGAAGCCACAATTGCTGCTTTAAAGTTTTTTCAAGACTGCCACTAACTTATTTTCTCTGATCTCCTTGGTTCTTTGAGTCAATTTGGAATTGGCTCTCTGCGTTTCGTGGCACTTGGCTTCCTCAAAGTTTAGGAAGTAGAGTCAGGGTTTTCAGAAGCCAGGCACTAATGAAAAAGACTGAACTATATTTTTAAAACAGTATTTTAATACCAATGAAAATTCTCCTTATTGCTTCTTCCTTGGAAGCTTATCTCGTTTCTTCTGCCTCCTCCTGAGAAAGGCTTTATCCAGTTTTTCTTATTGCACAGGAAGTTCTGACAATGACCCAATGCAAGATGGGTTGAGATTCCTCTTTCACTGCATCTGGCCCTTTTTTGGCTGAAGATGTGATGATGAGAGTAGTGATGAATATGGCCAAAGCAAGAGCCATTATCAATGAAGCACTTGATATGTTAAGAGTTTATATTTATTACTTAATTTATTCATCGTAATAACCTTGTTAGGTTCACCCTGTTATTTCACTTTTACAGACAATGAATCAATGAGTGGATACATTATTCCTCACATGTGATAATCTCTTAGGAAGGCCACAGACACAGTGGTGAATGCAACATGGATGTTGCATTCCGGCCAAAGTGGTTCAAATATTGTCGTTACCATTTACAGCATGAATGATTTTACTTTCTGAGCTCCAGGTTTCCTCTTTTGTCAAGATTAACCTTTTTGTGAGTTGGTCGTGATACTTAGCTAAGAAAATTTGCTTAAGGATTTGCTAAGTTCTCAATAAGTAATAATTATTATTAATTAGTCCCTTTGTGCTTCAGACTAGACTTCTATACAGTCAGTTCTGCTATGATGCTTCTCTTATAAATTCACCTTTGTTCCAGTAAGATTGATATATTAGGGAACAATATGAGCATAACACAAATATTACATTTGGGTATGCTGAATTTTGCCCAGAAGAAACACTTGGTGAAGTCCGGAAACTGCATCCAGCTGAACAAAGACATGTAGGAATACACAAAAAGCACACACCTCCAACACACCGTCCCCCTCAGGTCACTGCAGATGTTATGAGCCACACCATCCACATCTGGCGCTATAACTTTTCATCTCATTTCAGATAATCCCCTCCACTACTGCCCAAGAAGAGCTCACAGGCTGCCAGCCTTCCGCGCCCACTTCCATGAGTGAATGCCAGGTCTATTCTTCAAGGCCAACCGTCATGTTTATTGGCCTGCTATGTATTTCTCAATTGTCGAACATGTGAAGTGTGCTACCATTTTTATGAGGTTCCTATCCTCTTCAAAATGTGTCCCTGCTGAAGACTTTGAGAATTGTGCTTCAACACCATTCCCCCTGTAAGTCCTGTGATTTTTATTGCATGATTTTGCATAAGGTGGTGAGCTTTAGGAATGCACGTACTCTGTTACAGCAGAGCTGATGGTCTGGGCCGTTCATCTGTAAGACGCTGCAAAGGGGGGTTGCAGTTAAATGGGGGGCAGTTGTGCCACTAAGGTTTGATTCAGATCATTGGTGTCCAAGCCGCAAATGCGAATGGTTTAACTGCAGAACAGGTGTGCTGTGCCGAGCATAGCCGGGACTCCTGCCCACTGGATCCTTCCTTGGTTTCTCAGAAAAGCTAAATGGAAATCATGGTTGGCATAGCCTGCAATGTGCAGACCTCTCGTCATAGGAAATTGTCGTGAGTAAAGCTTGCCAGCACTTTCACTTCTCTCCTTTCATCTTCTTTTCATCCCTTGTGCACTTGAATCCCTGAAGACAGGCATGTGATACCATCTTTCTGCTTGAATTGGCAGCTGCTTCTGGTAGTAATGATGCTTCAAATTGGCATAGTGTGTTAAGATTCTTTCAATGTACTTTTGCAGTTAATTAGTCTGCTTTATTATTTCAATTTCTGGAGAGGTTGGTAAGACTGTCTTCATTCTGGAACATCTACTGTGGGAAGAGCATATGAATATGTGTGACCACTTTCCATTTCAGGTCATGGCAGATATTATTAGTCAATCCTAAATTTCTTTTCTTGCTGAGTTTTGTTGTTGATTTCTGAACCAGACTGATTGCTCCTCTGGACCCCAGCAATTAATTTATGCCTAGAACCCACTGCTCATGCTTAGTATCCTAGGATCAAGCTTTACCCTCACAAACTCTCACCATCTTTCTACCAGAAAGGTGTAGAAACAGGGGCAGAAAGAGCTAAATCTAACAATAACCATTCGGCAACTACAAGATTTAGGGGATTGAGGCCCTGACAGATGAATCGTGTCTCAAGCATTTGGTGCTCACACAGCCTCCCCTTTGTGACATCTTGCTGCCAACAGAGACTAAATCACATCATCTAAGTCACATGGAATCTCTCAGCAGAGCATCTCAGAAGAGTATATATATGGGCTCCCAAGCTGTTAAGGGCCCAAGTTCAGCACTTCACTGCTAGCTTCCTGCCGTGATGGGCCACGATGGTATCTTCTTAGAGCAGAGTGTAGAGTAAAACCCGTGAAAGGTTTTTGTATATGAATTCCTTGCACTTGAAAGTTGCACTTCACTTAGAGATGAAAGGAAAGTGGTATCAATCAGCTGTGGGCCTGTGAATTATCTACAGGGATGTTAGGGTGTACAGGGAAGCAGCTTGGGAGAAGCCCCTGCTACAAATGGCAGTCAGGAGCGTCTCTGCAACAAGGCTGCACACAGGCACCTGGAGGAAGGCTTCTGTATTCCCAGTTTAGCTCTCTCTGCTTGCCTCCTTCTACCTGGTGCTCATCATACTTTGAGTGCGTGGATCCTGATTAAGTGGATATTCCAGATTCTCAGCAAGATGAGATGGTACCTGAGGGCAGATTCTAAGAGCTTCTACCTACATCATAGTGCAAAGGGTAATGTCTGCACTCTCCAGGGGCTTAATAAATACTCATGGACCACAGATGACAACTTAGGACATTGGGAGACAGATGAATTTTAACAAATATATACACCCATGTAATCTACACTCCAATCAAGATACAGAATAGTGCCATCATCCCAGAAGGTTTCCTCATCCTCCTGGGTGGTCAGCACTCCATCCAGAGGTGACCACTGTTCTCATTTCTACCCCATAGATAAGTTTTACCTGTTCTCGAACTTTGTCTAAACGGAATTTTACAGTATGTTCTTGTGTCTGCTTCTGCAAAAAAATCATATTTTGGAATCTATGCCATAGTTATACGAATCAGGGTTGTGTCCTTTTCTTGAGTAGTATTTAACTGCATGAACATGTAAGAGTTTGTTAATTCTTTCTGTTGACTCGTGCATAGGAGAGTTGCTTCTAGGTTTTGATTTCTTTGAATAAAGGCCGTGAATTTGTGTACAAAACGTTTTGTGGATATATTTTCATTTCTCTCAAGGTAACTATTTAGGAGTAGAATTTCTGGGTCTTATGATGCATGGATGCTTACCTCTATAAGCAACTCCCAAACTGTTTTCCAAAATTGTTTCATCACTTTATATTGCCATCAGCAATTCCAGTTGCTTTACATTATTGCCAAGAGTGGGTATTGTCAATTCCAAAAATTTAGCCCTTCTGGAGTAGACTGTGCTAGCTCATTGTGGTTTTAATTTGAATTTCTTTAATGACTAAGAATATACATTTATGTCTTAATGGCCATTTGTGTATCTACTTTTGTGAATTTCAGAAAAAATTTTATTTCAAATTTTTACTCATTGTTATTGGATTATTAATCTTATTATCATTGAATTGCATGTGTTCTCTGTATGTTTTGGATGCAAATATATATACATATATGCACATAAATACGTATGTATATATATTGAATATTTCCCCCAGTATGTAGTCTATTTTTTATTTTTCTTACTGATAACTTCGAAAGAGCAGATGTTTTTAATTTTTATGAACTCCATTTTATCAGTTTTTACCATAAATCACAATCCTTTTATCCAATCAAAAAATCTTTACTTAGCCCAAACTTATGAAAATTGTTTCCTAAATTAAATTTTATAGTTTTAGCTCTTACATTTAGGTCTATGAGCCATTTTGTATTAATCCTTGTTTATGGTACGATGTAGATGTTCACTTTTTAAAAAAATAAAGATATCCAGTTATGTCAGCACCATTGTTGAAAAGACCATCCTTTATCCAGTCATTCACTTTGACTCCTTTGCTATAAATCAACTGACCATATATAAGTGTGTCCACTTCTGTTCTAGTTCCATGTCTATACCCACATTCTTACTGCATTGTCTTGATTACCTCCACTTACCAGTAAGTCTTGAAATCACACAGTATAAATCCTCCAAAGTTGTTCCTCTTCATCAAAGTTGTTTTGGCTGTTCTTTTAAATTTTGGAATCAGCATGTCAATTTCTACAAGAAAGCACATTGGGATTTAGATTAGGATTACGTTGATTCAACTGATCTAACTGGAGGAGAAATGACATCTTAACAATACTGAGGTTCTCAAGCATTTCTCCATTTAGTTAGGTCTAATTTTTAAATAATATAAAAGATGATTGTGGGCTATATTTTTTAATTTTCAGCATGCCAGTTTTTGCAGATCTTTTATTAAATTTATTCACAAATGTTTCGCACTTTGTAAACAGGTGTTTTTTTCTCCTTTAAAAATAAACTTTTTTTAAACATTTTTTATTGAGTTATAGTCATTTTACAGTGTTGTGTCAAATTCCAGTGTAGAGCACAATTTTTCAGTTATACATGAACATACATATATTCATTGTCACATTTTTTTTCGCTGTGAGCTACCACAAGATCTTGTATATATTTTCCTGTGCTATACAGTATAATCTTGTTTAAAAATAAACTTTTAATTTTAAAATAGTTTTACAGAGAAGTTGGAAAAGTATAGAGGTACCATCTACAACCTTCATCCAGTTTTCCCATTTATTAACATCTTACATGACCATTATGTGTTTGTCACAACTCAAAAACCATCACTGGTACATTACTATTAACTAAACT